GTTGAGGCCAATCGAGATACCTGATACATTGTTACTTCTAAATTAAAGGACAGTTTCAAATTTCCATAACCCTGATATGCAATATCTATTTTAGTTTGATTTAAAGTGAGAGAAACTGGACATATGACCTAAAGGAAAAATACAGTTTGTTTCTATCAGCCATATTTACAGTCAATGCAAATTTCCTTGGAAATGCCAAGGACAGCTTTGAAACACACTACACCAGCCAGTCTAGTCAGTATCAATAAGCACATTGTAGTGACATAAAAGCACAGTCATCCATTTTAACAGTTCTGACAGTTTCATTCAGAAAACTTTTGTGGCAATATTTAAATTAATCACCAGCCTCTCAGAAAACATCTGATAGAAAAATATTTGAAATGTGCCATGAAAGCATGCCTATGTCCTAGCATAAAATGTTTTAGTGATTTAAATGAGGAAGAGCAAGTATAACCAAAACGTCCAAGAATCCAAAGACCCTGAAAGATGATAACAATACAGGCACAGAACAGAAAGGAGGTGGAGGAGGAATTAGATCTGAAAGAACAGCTAATTTATTAATTCTTCACTACTAATTCAGGATTTAATACCAAAAAGTAAATTACTCACAGGGGTCAATGATACTGATTACCAGAAAGATACAATATTTATGAGAAATTATTGGTTTATAATTTACCTTAGCTGGTATTTTTATAAAGGACTTCTTGGGTTTTTATTCCAAGAGAAATAAAAAAGTTATTGAGAGAACATTTACAACCTCCCACATATTTGCATTTCAAATCTTGCAGCATTGTGCTAGTGCATGATCAGAAATCATTACAGCTGAGCAGAACAATTGCTTTAATCATAGATATTGTAGCCTCTCTCAAAGTTAAATATAGTTATTAAAATTTAAAGAAAGCAGCAACCCAAACCCCTCAGGTATTCTAAGGTGCACAAGGACAATAGCTTGATGCTTGATTACACACAGGGAGGTTGTTTGGACTGATGTCAGCACCTGCATGAAACACTTGTGCTTTACGCCCAAGCTAGACAGCTGTGGCCGTGGCTGGCTGGAACAAAATGTTCTTTCAGCACAAGTAATATTTCATCTCTCATTGTCAAAACAACATGATCCTGCTGGTCCATACAATTCATTAGCAAGTCTAAATAACTAGATAGTGTCACTGGTGTAAAGGCCTCCCATCTCCTAGCCATTTGCTCCAACCCTTACTTCCTTCCTGCAGTGGCAGTCTGGTTATGGAATACAGCCATCCACCACACTCAAGCACTTGAATTTGTTCACAGAATTTGGAGGAAAAAAGAATAATGGAACTTTGCACTGCACAAAATTCAGGTTTGTGACTCACTGATGGCCCAAGATCAAAACAAGATCCACCACTCTGTGGAATACTGCCAGCAAACCCTTGTTCTGGTATTATAGTAATAATCTGTTAAAACACAGCTACCAAACTGCATCTTAATTGGCAACTCCACCATGTCAGTGTATTTTATGACCAAAAGTTGATGAGTCATAGAGAACTGGCAAGAAAGTGCTCACATTTGAGAGAAGGGAGTTTTACAATCCAGCAAAACTCCAGATAAAGCTGCTGAAAACATCATCAGTGGAAGACCAGCTGTGTAAACACAAAGGAAAATATATCTGGATTAAGTTCATCAGCTTCTAAACAGTTACTCTATATTTGCATCAGTGTAATGGAGAAGAAGCTGGCCACTGTGCAAAAAAAGTACCTTGTCTCAGATGACATCAAGAGTGCAGCTTTGAACCCAAAAAGAAGGCAATTGCCTAGAACACTGAATGGCCTGAGAACAGCCACAGCAGTAGTCCTTACAAGCCCCCTGCTGGCTCCTCTTTTCTGCTGCAATTCAAGGAGGAACAGAGAATATTGGGTAATAAGGGATGCATTCTGACAGCAGTAACAAGGACATCATGCATAGCTCTTAAGAGCCTCAGCTCCCAGTGAAGATCACTTTATAAGCAGCACTCCATTTTGTTCATATTCATAACAAGCCTTAACCCAACTCCTCAAAGCAGCTGGACATGCTTCTAACTCTGCCTGAAAATGTGCAGAAAAGAGTATTATTGAATAAGTATTCTTGCATGCCAACATTGAAATCATTAACAGAAAAGGTGTATCTGATTGGGGCAGAATTCATGTTGAGGCAGGGGTAGTGTGTGCCTGAGGCAAGGCATGGTGACACGACATGCCTTTGTTTTCCAAGCACAAAGGACCAAAGAAGTCTATGTTAAGCATTAGCCAAATAAAGGCAGCTGATTCCTATCTATTTACCTATTAAGCCAGTGGCTTGGAGTCCGATTTTTTTGTTGTTGTTGTTCTGACTGTTAGTTTATTGCAGCTGAAGAAATGATACCATCCCTTTTCTTCATCATTTAATCAAAGCATGTAAGCAGGAGACAAAGAGGTACACTGCAAACCAGAGCAAGCCTTGAACTCTCTTGACACATTTAGCCTTGATCTGACTGGAGCTGAGAAAAGAAGAGGAGGAAAAGTCATGGAAGCAGACATGGACACCAAAACTGCACAGAAGCCACAGAAACATGACTTCAACACCAGAGACTGGAATAACAACCCCACTAAGGAGTTGTTTCAGGCAGGGTTAAGAAGGGGAGGCAGGGTGGGCAGGTTGAAATCTTCCTCCACCTGCCTCCTTCTCCCCACACAGTTTCTACACTGGAGTCTTCCTCTAACATTCTTATCACTGTATCTTCAACCAATTCTGACCCTTCTCCATTGTCAATGAAGAAGTAGCATCTCAAGCTGCAAATCCAATCCTACCCTGTGTTTACATAGTAAGCAGATTTAACCCTACACTTAAAAAGTGGGGGGAGGGGTGAGCATCACAGCATGGAAAGGATTCTTTATATTGTAATTTGGGGTAAGGGTCAAATTTTGCTCTTTGGATTAATAAGTTTTCAAATACAATACTAGCACTTAAACCATGAAACAATTTTAAAGCACTGGAGCATTATTAATGAACATTTGCTTTCCCTCAACAATGTCAGAGATCCAGCAGCTTCAGATATCACAGTACAGAACACAACACAAAGCTGTACTTTTACTTGCTTGGTAATATTATGTTTATCATGATCCCATAAATATTTAATCAGGTTTATTGGTAAGATAAAGGCATGTGATCTACACCTCATATATTGTCCTTTGTACTCCCAAGGAAGTGAGAGAGGTACAGTTATTACCTTTATCATTATCTTCTCCTCTTCCACCTTCAGCTGCTGCTTTAACACAGGCTGCAAGCATATTACAGAAGCAGTTACCTTGACTTTGGAACAGCTAGAGTTTACACACCTCTCACCATAGCACAGCACACTGTTTCATTCTCCCTCTGTGACCTTCAACAGGAACAGAATTAATCAACATGGTGTACTTAAAAACAACTCCAGCCCTTTACATGTCTCTTCTCACAGAATTAGAAGCATCAAGATCAGATCTAAGCAAGCATCAGCTTTAACACTAACATCTTTTCCACATTTTGTTAATATTTTTACACTAATATTTACACTAATATTTTGTTATCCTCAAAGTAAGAGTAATTTTACCTTCCTAGTTACAGAAGTCTCACATAAAGTGTGAAACAATGGATACTTGAAAAGCTGAAAGTTAAATATTTCTGCTTCTGTGGTAGACCTGCAGTCCCTCCTAGACATGAATAGCGTATATGAAGAACCTGACTGGAGCCTTGCAAATCTGGGAACTTACCTATTTTTTCTGAGTTGGTCTATTTAAAAATCTTGTCTAGCAGAGCAGTGTATTTTAGGAGTAGTGTCTGATGCCACATTCTCTAGAAACAGCAAAACACAGACTCTTCAGAGGAACTTTTTCAAGTATGACATATACAGGGTATGAATAGCTTCAACCTGTTGACCCACATCTCCCCCCAGGTGCCTACAAAATAAAAATAAAAGGGCATTTTTTTTCCTCAATAAATGTGAGTGACTCCCCACCACATTTTTCTATTTATAAATATCTTTAAATTGTCAGAGATAAAAGCAGAAATGAAAATGTGACATCTGGATGTTTCACAGAGGAATCTCTTTAGCTCTGACAGATGTGAAAGATAGAACATTGTTTCCTCAGGAAGGAGAACTGATTCCCCTAGAGAAGTCTATATCTAATAATCACAAGAAAAGTTTTGTTTTGTGCCTTAAACTAGTTTGGGATTATACAACCTTTTTGGGTAGCAACATGATAATTTGTTTTCAGTAATTTCTTTTAAATTCTTACAGAGAGCTTTTGATGACTAAGAAATCACTCTCAATTTTAACATATTAACAGGACTTTCATTAACACATGAATGGACTGAACATAAAACAGGAACTTGCAAGATCAATCCTGTCTCTCACAACGGTGTCTCTGAGCCAGATTTTTCTTCTTATTTAAAATATACTGGGGAAATGACAGAAACAAATCTTGATATATGCACACTATAACAATAAGAGTGTTTGCAGCAAGAGAAATTTGAAAATTTTAAATTTAACTAACTGTATGAAATTCAGGGGGATAGCTCTAGAAAACAGTGTCACATGCTTTGCCACTAGACACAGAGTCAATCTACTAAAGAGATTTAAAATTCATTCATATATCTTTATATTTTTTGCAATGAATTTAGGCTTATTCCTGTTCCTTTGCAACAAAGCCTTCTGTTGCTTATTCTTCCTACAAATCACAGCCAAATCTCAGAAAAGTCCAGAGATACTTTATAAAAGGACATTTGTTAGCACTGCTCCTTCTAGCACAAAATGTTCAGAGAAGACTGGAAGCACTAGTAATGCAGATGGTACAATAGCCCTTTTGCATACAGTAGGATACCCACAGCATTTTCATATTTGGGAAGGCTGACTGACCCATACTAAATCCTAGTTAAATAACAGAAGGCAACCTCTAGCTCTTTACAGTCACTAAGCACGACTGACTCCACCCCTCTTGGCCATATATCTGCGGTGTCACCATGTCCAGCCAGGACCTTGTTGTGCAAAATAGCTGAAAGCTACCCTCAAGATGAGAGCAAGGCAGCTGGTCTGTGGAATTTGGAGTCTGTGTTTCCTGTTCTGTCTTTTCTGCATCTTTCTTCACCAAACAACAGCTAAAAGAAAACTGAAGTTTGTGTCCCTAGTAAGTATGGGCAAATGAAATTTCTTCAAAACCTGTCACTTACTACTTTTCTTGTACTCTAGGGTAGAGAGGAGGGGAAAACTTTTCAAATATTTAAATGTTTCCTCCATATTCAAAATTCATTATTACGTTGTCCAAAAAAAGTTCCGTTTCAAATAAGATTTTATAATTTTGTCTCGTTTGTGCATTCTTAAATTAACTTATAGATATAGGATGCTTATTTTATAGTACTAAAATAAAAATAACACAGGATTCTGTTTTAAAATGTTAAAGAGGATTTCATTACTAAATACCAACTGTGCAAAAACCTTCTTTACCATGGAAGAGTCTCCACTTTTCCAGTGGTTTCAATGGACTAACATAGAAAGTAAATTTCAGTGTGTGAAACTCAAGGGTTCAATGACATTCAGCAAGCATTACAGAAACCATTACAGAAATTGCTTTGAAGCTAATGCTGTTTGCAATGGTTATGATTTACCATTTGTTTGCAGGAAGCCTGAATCTTATTCTGAATATCACACACATACAAATCATTAATATTATCTTTTTTCTTGCAGTTTTTGATTTAATTTCTCCCTGCTTGGATTAAGAATATTTTTTCAAATATTAAAATTTTAGAATCATATGGCAAATATCTGCAGGAATTATTCTGCAAAACATGTGAAGCAGAGAATTCATCGTATGAATGAAAAAATCCAGTGTAACTTATAAATACATCTTTTATCTGAAGTGAAATTTCAAGACAGGTTCAATGTTTTCAGAGCAACAGTTTAGCATGTATTTACATATTAGATAACACTTCTATCACCTCTTGGGATGAAAAAGCCAACATATGACTTTTTAAGGCTAATTTCTGCCAAGTAACAGAAATTCACAGGAGTCAGCCATAGAACTGTTACTTTGAGTAATAGCCTTGGTTTTTTCCTTTTGAATCCAAATTTAGTCATACCAAAATACTAATGTTTAAATATCTCTGCAAAATTGCTTACATGCTTCTGGTTTTTTTTCTGTTTATTTAATATTATGGTCTATACCTTCTAAAATACATGAAACTTCTTTAAAATATAATAGGGTATCCTGTAGCTTTTATAACTTGCAAAAATTTATTTAAGCTAATTTATTCTCAAATGCCAAAAAAGAACCAGTTATGTTTGTCTAAATAAATTAAACAGGAAATGTAGCTATCTAAATTTAAGGCAAGAACCATTTATATACATAACATCTGTCAGATACAGCACTCACTGTCATGGCATATTCCTTGTGACTACACTAATTAGTAATAATCACTACAAAAAATACCAGTAACAAAAAAGCAATTTCATCTACTTTATCAGGTATTTCGCCATGGTGATCATACTCCACAGGAGTTTTTCCCAACTGATAAGCATAAAGAAATTGCAAGACAACAGGGATATGGCCAACTTACCAAGGTGAGTTTATTTACCTGGGCAAAGAACTGAAATATTGAAAGATGTTGTGTTGATATTTGGGGGTTGAAACTTTGCTTTCACTTGGAGAAAGCCCTTAATAAGCTGCCACTTAAGGACAGCCAAGGAACTTATTAGGAAATCACAGCAACATCACTCACTAATTTTGAATGAAATTGAGTCAGCCTGTTCTGATACAGTGTCAGCATATGTTGAGCTTTTTGATTGCAGACCAGGATCTTCTGGGAGGAGCCAGGCATTGGTGACCACCTCAGTTCACCTGAGACCATACAGGAAGATTTAAACATCAGTAGCAGAAGGAGATAGAAGTCCTTACAGACACAACCCTCCCTCAATCTCTGCTGAACCGGACTGCTTCCTTAATTATAAACTGTTAAGATCAGAACAAGCAGAAACTTTTCTTATGCTATGCCCAATAAACTTGATTTAAACCTCAACTATTTTAGTGAAGGCATTTGTGGAATCAGCTGTTTCCACAAATGTGCCACAAATGTACGGTATCTGTATCTGACAGATGCTGTGCCTCTCTTGACTGCAATTTGTATTAGCTGCCACCTCTTACAAACAGAGCCACAGGTGAACTGTACTATCAGACTGTAAGGCAATATTTGGACACTGGGTGTTTTTTGCCCTCCCACTGGCAGGACCCACTATGTCTGTGCGCTTGTGCTTCATTCCTTTTCCCCCAAGATATATTATTTGGATTGGAAAAGCTCCCAGTTATTTGCCCAGCACTCAGAACCAGGCAGTATCCCTGAAGTAGTTGAGAAGTGCCAGAAGTCTGGTTGCCCCAGACAATGGCTACAGTGCATGTGGAGGCAGACTGTGAGGTGTGTCTCTCTGTTAGGGACATGCACCTTATGTCCACACACCTTACGTCCAGTGCGTCTCTCTCCTAAAAGAACTTGCCAGGTCTCCACCAAAATCAGAATAGAACAAACTGCCTGAGAGATTCCTCTTCCCCACTGTTCTTAGGAGGCAAAACTGGTCTCCAAAATCAGGCCTGCTTCTGCTCATGTCAACTCCCTTGAAGAAACAAGAATAACAGAGCAGCTTCCCAACTCAGCTGTGACTCAATCATTCCATATAAACACTATGCAAGTTGAGCAATCCATGCCAGCTTGCTCCAAGGCATAGAAGACTTCAAGACCCAGGAGTCAGGACTTAACAACATCAACATGCATATTAGGCAAGTTGGGGCAGAAGCCTAAACCACACGTATAGCCTAGGAAACTGGATGCACAATTCCAGCAAGAGAAAGAGGTGTCACATGCACACACAGCAGGTCCTGAGTAACTCCTAGCTGACTTGGCTTTGAGCAGAGGTTGGACTAGAGACTTCCTGAGGCCCCTTTCAGTCTGAACTATCCTTTGATCCCACAACTTAGAAAATTGCTTTAGGAAGCAATGAGTACTGTACTTGAGATCCCAGCGTACAGTAATGATTACATGAGCTAAGTGGAAAATATTTAAATTAAGGCCAGAAAATGCCAGGTACAAGTAAAAAGATGGCAATATAGACTATTACAGGGACACTGTGTGTGATTGTGGTGGAGTCAACACCCCAGGGTGTTTAAGGAAAGAGTGGATGGTACCTGATTCCATGGTCTAGTTGACCGGGTAGCATTAGTTACTAGGTTGGACTCAGTGATCTCAGATGTAATTTTCAACCTAACTGATTTTTGATTTGGTGATTCATGTGTCACGTGTTCACAAAATTATGTAGGTAGGTTGAAAGATGTTCAGCTAAGAGCTACTAAAATGTTGGGACTGGAAAAATTTTGCGTTGAGGATAGAGAATTGTCATCAGTTTCATTTAACACAGAGATAAAGTGACTTGATTCCATTTTCTGGGTTATTGTTTAACCGTGAATAAGATCTGTGATGCTGAATGTTATTCAAAAGTGTAACAAGATTCAGTGACTGAAAGTTGGGAACATAATCAGGCAAGAATCAAAAATCAAATGCTTCAGACTGTTGATAATAATTAACTATTGCAGAAAAAGGCCCAAAGGCTTGGAGGACTTTTTCTTCAAAACTTCTGTTCTGAAAAACTAGATCTTGCCCAGGCTAAAATTCTAGCCCCCATAAGGAATCTCTGGTGATACTCTATGGGATTCATATCCTGGATGTGTCTCCATGGACAGGTGGCTGCTCTGTCTGCACTCCCAGTTAATCAGCTCTGAGACAGCAATAGAGTAGAAAGTAGACAGATGGTGTTGGAACATCTCTATGCCTGCTTTAAGTCTCACTAGCTCAGATAAACATACACATAGCTTTCCACAGAGCAAAATACAAAACTGCAATTGCAACCACCAGGAGTCATAGCTAGTGTTATCCAACACCACACATGTAGCAACTTCACTACTTTTTTCTCACGTCTTCCTTCCTAATTCAATTTGAAAAAGAAAAAAAGTCTTTATTAAAACAATATAAAATATTATTGCATTATTTTTTGGTTGTAGGAATGGATGCATAGCACATTTCCTTAGCCTCTCATGCTCTTGTGTTACTTCTACAGCTTGGCATACAACAACAGTATGAGCTTGGCCAGTACATGCGGAGGAGATACTCTCATTTCCTGAGCGTTGTATACAAGCAGTGTGAGGCAAGTACTGGATCTGGGCAGGAAGATGTTTTTCATGGTTGGTAATGGGACTTCCTGGATGCATAAGAGTCTAAACCTGGTGCAATTGGAGAAAATTTAATACCAATTGAAGTCAATGTCATTCCAAAATATCCCTGAAACTGTAGTTCAGCTTTTATCCTGATGGCTAACTTAAAACCACATGAAAGGCTCTTTAGGCAGCACGTCAGGTTCAGCTCCCTCACTGCTGCATGGCAGAGCATCTATGTCAAATTCCTGCAACGTTACACTTCCATATGGAATCCAGATACAACTCAGTTTTCATTTAGGTTCCAGCTTTTCAGTGCACATACGATGTCCCAAAGCCTAGAGGGTCAAATAGAGTCAATCTCATGCTGTCCACCAGGATTTCTAAGATGTTACACTGCTGCAGCTCAGTTGTACAGTGAAATTTTATTCCAGCTGCAGTCTTTCTCCTTTCTCCTTCTTTCTCATAGTCCTTCTTCATGCCACTCCATTTTAATGACAACTTCCCTAGTACCTCTTTTTTTCCTACCAAGAAGACAATAAAGTAATCTAATGAAAGAAATTACCATCCAAAATGTTTCTTTTTCTTTTTTGTTTTCGTCCTTCAGATTTATGTTCAAAGCACTGACTGTGATCACACACTTATGAGTGCTCAGGCAAGTCTTGCTGGACTCTACCCACCAACACAGGATCAGATTTGGAATCCCAACATCCTTTGGCAGCCAATTCCAGTTCACACAATGCCACTGTCACAGGATAATGTGAGTATAAACTAGGGGCATCTGCTTTCCCTTGATCATTAGTAAAGTACATAGGACATGAGATGAAGGTGCAGCAAAAAGTGCATGGTTAAGGCAATGAAAAGAACATTGTTACAAGCATTTTGCAGAAAGGCTTAATAAGCTTAGTAGAAGTGTTGGCAAGTATTTCCACAGGAATGGACTTGCATATCAGAGACATGATCTTAACAAAAGAGAATGAAAAATGGGAGTGCTGGTATAGAGAAAAAGAGTTCATTTATAAAGTGAGTAAATCACTGTAAAAGTAGATTAATTCTAAATTTAACGCAAACATGACTTTCTTCATGTGACAAGAGAAAACATACTTAATCTCACTAGCGTTTCAGTACTGCTTAGTCCACAGCCAATGGAAAAGACACAAGAATCATTCTGGGACTTACATTATGGTGAGAATTGATTACAGGATTGTTTTTCATGCACTTTGCAGGTCAATGCATGTACTCCAATGATTGGTGAGAAAAGTAAAAGGGGAAAGGAAGGAGGACTCAGAGCCTTAAGCACAAGTTCATGGGGCAATATATTTATTCATCTCCCTTCCTCAGCTCCTCACTTAGGAGTTGTAAGGAATTCTGTGGATAGCAGCTCTGTAGCTTGCATATACTTGTCCTAGAGGGCAAAGCTGTGCAGCTGGCTGGAGCTGGAACCTTCTGTGTGCAGAAAATCTATGATAAAAGGTTAAGATCAGGAGTGTGCAGCATAAGTCCCAGTTTGTGAGAGCAGGTTTGCACTTGTGATGCAAGATAAACTGTGTGGGCTTTACAAGTCTAATTAACACAGTCTGTGATGATAAGGGACTCACGTCAGAGAAGTCATGGAGCAATGGTTCTCACCTCAGAGTGATGAGAGCATGAAGATGGAAGGTATGGAGACATCTTCCTCATCACACACACAGCCAGGCACAGTCAGGAGCTGCTTGACACTGTCACAGGTGGGGATATCCCAGCAGAGAGACAAGATTACCTGCCAGTATCAACACAAAAGGCAAACTCAGCAAGCAGGTGCTGCACCTCATTCACATCTAGGGGAGCAAGTAAGTTTATTCAAACAAATAATAAAATCATGAGCACATGCACAATTTTCAACTATTTTTGTTTTAACTTTATTCGTCCTTACTACATATACAGGCTAAACCTGAGACTACATGTATCCTACAATACAAAACAAGTGCCCATCATTTATTGGTGAAATGATGCCTGCTCATGAACCTATGGCTATAATTCACAAATACCTTCCTATCTTGTGGAATGCATAGATTGTATTTCTAAAAAGATTGAGGAACTGCTGTGAAGCATTCCAAGCTAATTATCCCTTCAAATCTCTCAAGTTCTTTTCAAAGTTCTTTTAATATTGGGACTATATAGATGGAGCTACATTACTGGAAAGACAAAAAAGCACATTAGGGAAAAGCACTAATAATATCAGTGTCAAATTTGAATTTTTGTTTAAAATTTAACACAGAAAATGAAAATAAACTCAATTTAGCTAACATATATAAATACATATAAATGAAATAACAAGTTTTTAAGTTATTCCAGCCATATGTAACCTTCATATAGCTTAGATTAATGAAAGACAAAACTGAGTTACAGAAAGTTCACAAGTTTCTACAATTTAGCTGAACTAAATAAAGCTCTGTTAAATAGACTCAATACAGCTGAGTATGCACAAAAAATCCTATTGCAGTCCTGCTGCTGCTTTGTAATTTGCTGTAAAAATGTGATGGTGTGTTTAAAGAAAGACTGAACACAATGAATGAAATCATCCCTGGAGAAGCTAAGAACAAAGGAGTTCATGAGGGCTTGTCTTAGTCTTCTGTCAAAGGACAAATTTCATCTGGTGTAAATGAATCCTTTAACTTTGAACTACTGCAGCTATTACTCCTCTGAACATTTAAAGATTATTTTGTGTGTAGTCATCAGTATGACTCCTAGAGTCCTGAAGATGAATATCCTTGAAACTACATTCCCAAATTATTTTTCAGCTTGTCCTAACTAGTGCAGCGAATCAAAACAGCAATCCTGCAAGGGTATATTGAATTGCAGAACAAGATGCACCTTGCTTAACTAGGATTTTGCAATTTTCTTTCCAGTTGCTATACCTACCTTTCTCACACTGCCCAAAATACAAGGAGCTTCTGAGAGAAACCTTTGCAACAAGGGATTTCCAAAGGCAGTTCAAACACTACAAGGTAAAAGTATTCTGAGTTCTGGAAATCCAGTTAAAGTGTACCACTTCTTCAACATTATCTAACACACAGGTTTTAAAACAGCAGTTAATATGCTCCCTTCAGATCTGTAATCTTCAGAGTGGGTGTAGACAGCATACCCAAAAAACAATTACAACATTACAGGTCCAGCTGGACTGGGTTATTCCCAACAATTGAAAATCGCAAGTCACAGAAAAGCTAAAATATTGACCTACTTGCAAAAACTTCATTTCCAGGGGACTAGACAAAACAAAAACTCAGATAAAATCAGTGTCAATGCCTCTCAAATTATTCCAATACCTCTCTCTGTTTACTCCCATGTAAAGCAACTCCTCTGACATCTCTGCCTATATAAGTCTGTGGGCTCAGATTCATTTTCTCAGCTCAATTCCTCAGAATTTCTATAACAGTCTCAGTGTTTTTCTCAAGTACTTATTCATGTTCCCCACCCAAAATCTTAATTTAGGTGTTCTCTTATGTTTTGTGCCTGTCTTCATATGGAATATCCTTTCCTTTCTTTCTCCATCATCAAAACCTTTGCATGACTATATAACCACAGGTTTATTCTGCTGCAACCTTCTGCTTCACATGTGTATTCAAAAGGACACGATGAACCTCACCTGTTTTTCTATTATCTCTCACCACTGACCTCAATCATCCATTTGTGGCTCTGCATCTGGGTATTATATGCAAGTAAATCACAATTCACATTTTATCAAATTTACATCATACCTCTCCTTCTCCTGAGTACCAATATCAGAATAATTCTGTTTATCACACTTCCTTTAAGCACTTCTTGGATTTCTGCCAGACTTCTTCATATATCTGTGTTCCTTCTACTTCCTTCTAAACATTCCCACCAAGCATAAACAATCACTATACTTCAAATCTGAACTAAAATCACCAACCTTGTCTAAATGAGTAGGCCAAATTCTCTTACATCTAGGCAATGGTTCATTGTTAAAGTGTAAAGACTGTCTTCTTTCTAAAAATTCCTATTTACTACTATGACAGTGTGTAGAAATCGTGTAAAAATGCCTTCAGTACTACAAGTTTGGATTTTTTTGTATTCCAGCAATTTCTGAAGTTTTTGGCCACTCATACAGGATATCCAGTAAAGAAGTTGACTAGTGAAAGGATTTGGAAGCTCTCTGACACTTTAAATTATGAGGTAAATACAATCAAAGAATCATTTATGTTGGAAAAGACCCTTAAGATCTTTGAGTCCAAAAGAAATTCTTATGCTTCCTTCAACCTGGTATTTTTATTTGGTTTATTTTTTTATTGCAAGTCATAAAAATATCATAGATCTGTGCTTCAAAATTTTTTAAAACAACAACTATTTGGCAGCTTCTTTCCCAGAAACCCTCACTTTAAGTCAAACTTATGTGTGAGGCTGCTGTGGGTCATCCACTACTGCAAGGAACACAAACTAGTGGACTTTCATATTCAAGATCCAGCCAGTGACTGTATATGGAGAATTAGGCAAAAGCTTACCTTTGGATAAAATTGTCTTGTAACTCCCCCAGATCCCACTAGGAGATACACAGGGATAAAAATATGTTGCTGGCAAAGAAACCTAAGCATCCTTTCACAAAGATTTTATGCAAATTGTAAAAGCAACAGAAGCCATTATTTGTACACAGCCAGCAGCAGACAGAGTATTTTCAGGAATTAAGCAGCCATTGGAATGACACAAATTGCTATTTGTGCAAGTCTGGGAGCTTGCTCTAAGCAAAGGTATCACAAAAGAGTGTGGATTTTATAACAAAAGGGTTATTGTGGTGCCAAACTGGCATGGGTATCTGGGTTCCGCAATCTGGAAATGTCATGGTTTGAAAACACCCTGACTGCCCTTAATTTAGCAAGAAAACCCTCTTCAAAGTCTAGACTTACTTCTGTTGACAGAAAATTGCAGAGACTTGTGTTAAAAAGTTATTTTGGAAGTCAGCTTTTGGTACACTTTCATGCATAGCTATTTATAAACAAATATTAATGATAAATTGGTCATCAGTACTGGGATATGAGTGAGGGAGTTTTAAGGTGGATTTCAGAAGCAACATGTAATATTTTACAGGGTGTGATACGAATGAGTTTACCTTCATTCCTGCAGTTTTTGCAAAAGTCCAACTTTGCTCAAAGCAGACTTGAATAGAATGTTAGCCAAGGCCTTAAGTTAAATGAAATGTTAACATGTTGGGACATCTCACTGTAATTTCAGTGAGGTCACCCTTCCATGTTTGCCAAATGCAGGACCACAACTTTCTATTTCAATAGTTAAATCATACCGAGAATCTGTGTCACCAGACAAATTTGGAAAACCCACAGCTCCCATCAAGAATCTAGCTAAATACTGGAATTAAAAAAAAAAAAAAAAAAAAAAAAAAAGTGCTTCTCATTCTAGTGTTATATTTGATGAGTCTTGGTCTTTGATACTACTGACTGAGGACTCTGAGGGTATCAATTAAAGGCATCTGCCATAAACACCTCTCTCATTTTTCAAGCATACAGAGAGAGAGTGCTTACACAGTTTTTAAATACAATCCATGAAACTACAGTAGCACACATCTCTCTGTATTTGTTACTTTCAGCTAAATGTTATCTGACTTTGAGGTAACTTGGAGACTGAGGTGTTTACTTGCCTACAGACTGTCTTAAATAGCATGCCACCATCCAATTCTTCCCTCAAGACATAAATCACGCTTATTAAAAGAGCAATGGATAACATTGGGATCTGAGCTGGTTTAACCTAGCACATTCTATTGTTTTCTTGTTTAAACAAACCCTTAAAATAGTTGACATTTTCCTTTGAGCTTGCTTGTTACAAGGACAATCCTTCAGGTGAGCTCAGTCCAAAGGTTACATTGCTCTAAAGGAAAATTACCAACCTTGTTTAAACAGGAATTCAGGGTACTGCAAACCAGGAGTGTTGCGCATGTCCTCCCTTCTCACAGTTGTGATCACTAATATACCTTGGACTGCATCCCCAAGGAAAGACTAATCCATTCCACTTTAACTTGAGGACTGTGACAGTATCCAATAGACCACAATAGGTACAAATTTAATCTATATCTCATCCTTATATATCTACCCCATACTTCCGTACATCCATACTACAGCTAAACATTGATCTCTGTATTCCTCTTACATCTGAGAGCTACCAGCCCTCAAAATCCTGGTGTTTATATAGGATTTGTTTCAGTAAAAATACAACCCAGCACATGACTGAAAAAGTAATATAGTGATTTTTTTCACCTGACAACATAAAAATGGCAGTTGTTTTTTGCATAATTTTAGTATTATTAATAAATATTCCTCTTCTTGTGGAAAACTGCCCTTCCAATTTCTTTCAAGCACTATGATGTTATAAATAGGAATGCTACAGCTGTCTAAATGCAAAATACAGTAATCATATTATTACAATGAGAAAACGTTACTGGAGCGAAACATTCGGAATTTGTTCTGAGAAGTATTGTGTGCCAGAATAAATAACAGTTAGCAGTAGGAATCTGTAAGAAAATCACTATGTTTTCTTTCTTCACTGTAGGATATCAACAATTACACTTTACCTGTTTGGGCTACTCATGGTGTCAGGATGAAGCTGACAAAGTTGTCAGAATTGTTATTGCAGGCGGAATTTGGGTTCCACAAACAAATACAAAAATCCCGTTTGCAGGGAGGTAAGCTGAATTCTTACCCCATTTAAAACCGAAAGTAGGATGGGAAAGAAGAAAGAGTATATGACAAATATTGTTGCTGATTCTATGGTAGAATGGTGAAAGATACCATTATGGGGATATTGATGGTCAGCACTGAAATATTTTGATTAATGGGGAGGGAGATGGTGAGCATATGAATCATGAATATCCTAATCTAATATTGTAATTGAGGTATCATTTAGATTACACTGTGTAAGAAATTTAATATAACATACAGATTCTTGTTGAATTGAATCAAGCCTAAGCTTAGCATAAGCCATGTGTAACTTACTTAAAAAAAACATTATTTGTAAGAATGGTGACTCTGTTACCTAACATCTTCATATTCCACTACTGAGAGTCCTAAAATGAGATTACTAACTCATTTTACTAACTGTTTTTAAACTTTACTCTGCTCAGAAAACAGTGACTAAAATTTGAAAGTATTTTATACCTTTTTTTTCACTCATTCTCCTCCATTCATCCACTGTCATACTTTGAGCCTCCATTTTGTTTTATATGGGCAGTGTGCAGGCAGGATCTGTGAGCTAGGAAGACAAATGAACATATAAGCATGAATTAATTTGTTGCATTTTTCAAAACTCCAACTTGCAAAACTTGGCACAAAATTCAAACCTCTGTCCTTGCTTTATTAACGAACAATTGCTATTAAAAATGTGCCAGAAGCTAAAGACTAATTCTGTCTAATTTCCTAGTTGGTACAGTTCTACTTTAAGGATTTTAACTTGTCGACATGCCAACCTTATATTAACATACTAGAGCAGCCATTGATTTAAATCAAGTAGTTTGTCTTACAATTTTTCAACAGGTAACATTAACAAAATGCAGAAAACCACACAATTTATAAAGACCCAGAGTCAAGAGGATATGCTCTTTCTTTTTTCTCTGGAAAGCAGGATATCATTCAAGCTACACAGACAACAGGGTAGCATTCATTAACTGTGCTCTTCTTGCACTGTTCTGCTGGCACAAAGTAACTGTGAATGCACTGTTTGAAGCTGTTGAGACTATTAGGGATCCCCAAAACATTTTACACAGAAGTAAAACAGGCCTACTGTTCATTTGAAAGATACTGTCACTATTAATCAAGGCACTCTGCACAAATTACCAGTTGAGTCAATTGAATAAATCTGGTTCACTTAGTGACAGATTGCTGAAAAGGCAGCAGTCGATACAGATGTTAACACAAGCACCTCTTTCATTGTCACTGCTTCCCCATTTTCTTTCAGGTATTCTTTTAAAAACTATTCTAAAGCATATCTTAGATGCTAAAAAGCCTTCATACCATCAAAAAATGGTTATGTATTCCACGGTGAGTGCTTTCTGTTTCTCTTGTGTTTCCTTTCTGCAGTTATTAAATGCACTGAAAGCCGTGAAATTTTATTTCCTTCATGAAATAGAGCTACAAGCATTTTTTTTATTTGGTTAACCTTAAATGTCCTCAGATTTAAAAAAAATTTTAATGAACAGATGCTACTTTGAAACCTGAAACATTCCACTTTCTACTGAATGTCATGGTTTTTTTCATTGTAATAATGTTTTGATTGAGTAGGGAACTGGAAAAATCATGCCTCATGTTTTATTAAACCTGGATCACAAAGTTAATTTAAAACAAAGTCTCCTTCTTCCTGCATCTTTTTCAAGAGCATATGGGGAAAAAAAGAAAAAAATTAAGTTACAGTTATTTTATCAGACCTTATGAAGGCAGTTACTCAATTGTGATCTTTTATTTTTGTTTAGAATGTACAAATGCTGTCATTGAAGGAGGAAAATTTTGGATTGCTCTCACTAAAAAGCTCCTGTTTCTAAACTGCATTGATATAACCTATTGGGTATATATCAGCTAAAGAGCTTACTGATCTGATCTCAAATACTGTATACTTAACAGGCAAAACCACTAGTTCTTTTTAAAAGAAGTTTTAACAGCTCCTATTAATTATGTAAGAGCTGCAAGTGACTAAGACTTCTTAAATATTTACATATATGTATACTTTATACATGCAGGACTTCAGTTTATATAGCCATAAAGGGACAATATTTGCTCAACAGTGCAGAGGGCAAGTACTAATGAGGCCCTAATGAGGTTAATGTTGAGTGGACAGATAATGTGTGGGAAGTGTTGTTAAATAATAGGTTCATGCAATCATTTTCAACAGACCTTTAATTAAAGATTTCCTCTGGTCACAGCATGCAGCCACCATTGCTGCCTTACAGATGGCACTCAATGTCTTCAATGGGAAATTGCCTCCTCACAGTGCCTGCCATTTTTTTGAACTTTACCAGGAAAAAAATGGGCAAGTATCTGCAAGCTATGCTGCTAATATGTACTTTTTCTAAAAATTAATTTTCTGATACCCAAAACTAATTAAACCAGATACCTGAGGTTCACTATTCAGTGAAATATTACACATTGATTTTAATTATTGTAATTGCATTCATTTTAGTAGTCAGTAGCAGAATAAGCCTGCAAACCATATCTATATATATCTATATATGTATATCTTACACCTATGAAAAGTTTTACTCCATCCTTTTTATCTATTTAACTCCTTAGCAAAGACAGCAAACTACATGCAAATTGGTGTTGACCCCCTGTTGCTTAATAAATTCTCTTCACAGTATTAATTATATTAGTAAACCATAAACATATTAGCAACCAGACAAATAAGCTGGCTAAAAGTTTACCCCCAGGTACAATAACTGCAGCATGGAAAGGCTGTGTATTTTTGCATAGCTAACTTTACTTTGACCCCTCTGTGTTTTGAAACAGGCAATACACCATAGAAATGTACTACAGGAACAATTCTTTGAGGGAGCCTCACCCCCTCACTCTCCCTGGCTGCAAATTTCGCTGTCCCCTGGAGAGATTTACTCATCTGGTCTCTCCCATCCTTGTACCCTATTGGACAAGAGAATGTAGAATGTAGGACATCAAAAGAGGTAAGCCAAGTGCTTTGGGCACATGTACCCAAAAATAAAATCAGGATTACATCTTGAGCCAACAGCTCATTTGAAGTGACAATCATTTTCATAAGGGTCTGCTCTGAAATGAAAAATATGAAGATCCAGGAAAAGAGAATTGTACCCATGGCTGTCATTTCTCCTCCATCAATACATTTCTTATTCCAGACCAACTTTCTGATGAAATAAAATCAAAGCTGATCTGACTTTAGAGTTCTGTTTTTCATGTGAGTTTTTTTTTGTTTTGGTTTGGTTTAGTACAGTCAAAAAGACCTTCAGTTACTGAAGAAGTACATGTAAATGCACTTACATCAGTCACCTTTTCTTCTCTAACTGCAGAGTATTTGTCCAAGCTGATTAACAACAGTCAACATTAAGCATTCTCTTGATTTTAGCAGGCACTCAGAGATCAAAACAGATTAATATTAAATAGTACACCAGATTGGTGCTTACCAGAATGTCAAAAGTGTACAAACACACATTGGTATACTAACTCATTTCCTCATAGCTTGTCTATATAACCATATTAGGAGGTTTAAATTTCCATTTTGACCACTTACAATACTTAGTTTGCAAAATGAGGGAACAGAAAGGCAAAAAATGACATTGTCTATCTTTTATCTAACTCTATATTACTTAAGGGAAATGAAAATCTAAGAAACCTCACTTTTCTAATGTTCAGATATTGTACCCAACATTAAAAAAATCCCATATGGCTTTCTGAATCACTGATCTCAAGAAGAATTTGAATCATTGGAGATTATAAGAATACAGACCAGGCAACTCACTGGTTGAAAATAATTTCCTGCTAAATATCTTGAATCCATTAATAGAGTGGAGATAGTCCGGCCAGAATGCACAAAAAATTAGCAAGTAATGATTCACTAAACAAATTTATTCACTATAGTCATTGCTCACAAATTCTCAGGAAATATTTCAGGAAATTACCATCTTTAATTGCAAAAGGTAATTTGGCAGAGGAAGTGGCAGGTTGTTTCTGATGAGGTTCTTTTTTCCATCCACACTACTAATACAGTCATGGAAGATAATGATAAATACTTCATGTTTATATTGTGGTGCTTAATAATCTCAGATTTGTGGAAATTAATCCCTCTCCTTCACAAACCAAACTGTGTAACTGATCAGATAAATAAAAAAATTATAATATAACAAAATTTTACAATAATAATGACCTAAATATTTAGCCTTTAAGTGTAAAACAAAGGCTTTATTTTGTTTCAATCCTCACATTTTGCTGAAGTAGAAGTTAGATGGTGTTTAGGCATTTGACACCAAATCCAGCATCACTGCTTTCATTAGCAATCCTGAATGCTGAAAACACATATAGACCACAAAAGAGGTTAAAACCAAACCTGATACTCCAATAAAAATGTTTTCCAATAAAAATGTCACTCCATAAAAATGTTTGTCATATCAAAGTTTGACACTTTCCACTATTTTATCTACTTACCACTATACTATCTACTGTTTTATTAGATAATATATGAATAGTTCAGAATGGACCTGTTGGGGCCATATCCTAATTTTTTACTAATATAGGAAACATTAATTTTATTTTTCTGGCAGGCAGTTTTAAACTCTCTGCTGTGCATGAGTGGAACTTGGAAAAAGCCAAGGCACACTGATCCACAGGCTGCAGAGTGCAGCACACTGACAGACCGTGCTAAATCACTGTGCACTACCAATTCTCAAGGAATGCAGACAGCTTGGAACAGCTGACTTTTAACACCAGTGAGCTAAATTAAGTAGAAGAGTGATGCACAGTTAATAGGTCACAATTACACTTGACAAAAACAGCGGCAAAATCCCTGATTTCAGATGTTTCCAACTCTGTCAAAATTAATCTCAACTATTTTTCATTGCTAATCCATATGTTATTAATTTGATTATGCATGCATGAGAGCATTTTATGAAGCCCATAAATGTGACTTTTTAAAAAAATAAAATCCAGAAGTGTGACTGAGCTCAAAAGTGTAATTTATAGAGACAAATATTCTACAGGGAGACTCCAGTTTGCAAACATACAGATGTTTCTATAAAAAGCTTAATTGAAGTTTTGTGGAGAGGATTTATGTCCCCACTACAAGGAAATAAAGGGGTTAGGCAAGTATTATTATTATAGGTCACACAATACAATAGTAGTATTTGAGGGTAGTTTAAATCAGCCTTAAGTTCTTCCACATCTCAATGACCATAGGGTGAAACATAGGCAATGAATAAAGCTCAGCATATTCGGGAAGAAGGTAAAGCTGTGAGCTCTCCCTGTGCTCTTTTTGCTGCTCAGGAAGATTTCAGCATGGATTGACTTGATATTTCAACAGACTTCTCCTAATCCCGTTAAAATGAGAGCAAATGTGTTAATTCCTATCCACTTAGTCTGAACTGCTCACTTGTTGAGGTACAGGTTTGTCGTGCTTTTGGAGACTGCCATATGCTAAGAATGCATCTCTCTTTTTGTCTTACCTTTAGGTGTTCCCTCCATTATCTTCAGTGTGGTTCACTTCATGAAAGAACTCTTTCCACACTGTGATATGACTGTGGTCCAACATTTCTCTTTAAATTCCATCAGCATGACCAACTGGGTCTCCTGATCTCTACCAAAAGAAAACATTCCTTAATACTACAAACAAAAATTGTAGAAAACAAGGACTTATTCTTCATGAATATTTGCTTTGCTTTATCACCTGGTAAAACCTAAGTGCAATATGAAACCAATGGAATTTTGCAAGACCAATTCTTTCCAAAGGGACTTTGTCAGAATTAATTCAACTACGCAATTAGACTGTTTTGGAGGGCTAAAACCTTGATTTACAGCAAAATTGGAAAACACCTCTGAAGGAGTGTTTCCCTCTTTTGAAGAACTTCAAGAACTTCAAGAGACAAGAACTTCAAGAACCGGTGACAGAAGCAATGCTTCAAATGGAGGAGTCATTCCACACTCCTTAGACCTTATTTTACTTAAGAAGCAATGAATCATTTTACACAAACAGATCTCAGAAGTCACAAGAATTAGGATTAAGCCTGCTTACTTACCTAAGAGATTTATTTCTCCTTTTCTCTGCATTTTACATGTACAAATATTTCATCTCTACATAGGAGGAAGATGAGACTTATGGAAAACTTGGACTGTGAATCTAGACCAAACAGGGGCTTAAAAACAGCCAGGCTAGCTACCTTGAAGACCTAGCAACAGCTGGTTAACCCAACAAGACCTTCAGATATTCCTTCCAAAAAGACAGCAAAGCCAAGTGTTAATTTTGGAAGAAAAATAAATTTTGGTTTCAAATACCTTTTTTAACACCTTCCTTCTGTTCAATTACCTTGATTGTATATTCTGATCTGATCGTATAAAGTTTGTTCTCCTGGGAAATCTGTAAGCAGATGCTGCTCTTGACATGAACAAAATAAAAAGGCAATACAAAATAAAAAAAAAATCACAGCTGCATTAAAATATGCAGAATATGTTGGGCAATCCTTCACTAGTTATGTTTTCTAATATTGCTATTGCAAAAAACATCTTGAGTCCTTACTACAAAAGCTGGATCAGAAGAATCAGATGCAACTAATTTCTGAAAAGAGTGGATATGTCTTTGCTTGAAGAAGCAAAGATTTCTCTTTTTTGTTTGTTTTCTCACAGTGAATAGGACCTTTTGTCAACAGTCTTATTGCCTACAGATAATTTTAAAGAGAACTAGCGCAACGGCTGAGGTGCAGAAAATTTTGCCATTCTGGCTTCTTTTCCTCAGATCAGGCTTTTAAAATGGATGCTGAACCTGAAAAGTATATTCTATATAGCATAAGCAGATAACTCCCACTCTACAAGATAAAAATGAATCATAATAATAAAAAGATCCCTTTTCTGTCCAACAAGAATCTAAGTTTCAGAATTCTCACTGTAAATGCCCTATTCTCTTCCCAACAGATCCAAATTTCTGCTTTTAAGCCACCACAGGAAACATAGTTCACCAGGAAAGCTGTAGTTAGATTTCCAGTCAAAAAATGCAACCCCTTTTACCATAGCATCCAAACAATGGTAGAAATGTTTTCTGACAACATGAGACAACCAGTTCTACCTGCTCCTTAATGCAAAGAAGAGCAAGCTTGTTTATTCTGTATCACCCTAATGTCCCATAATGGACACCAGAAGAAAGTCTTCTCAGGTCTGGCAACACTCACAGGAAATTTAGTGCAAGCTCTTTAAGTTATTCATCTCCAAACCACGCTGATCATCACACCTCCTTTCCTAAGAAGTAATTAAAAAAAACCTGCTAGACGAAAGCAAACAGAAAGGAAAAGCCAAGACTCCATCTTTATCAGTGTTAGACTTCTAACAGATTGTAGCCTTGGCTGTCAAAACCAAATTTCTAGGCACTTTCTCTTCTCAACCTGTTCCTGTTTCCTTTTTTTGAACTGATGCCAAATTGTGGTGCTCGAGTTGCTTTTAACGTTTTGTTTGCCAGATGTTTAGAAGTGAAAGTTCAAGAGCTGTAAAGGGTAAGTTTCATGCTTCTCCCATAAAGGTAATTTTTCTGTTAGTTTCCTGAATTGGACAAAGCTGACATAGAAAATGCGATTGAGACCTGAGACATTCTTAATTATTCTTTTTAGTCTCCAGTTCCCAGCTCTTCCACTCCTTCCTAACCCAAATCCATGTCCCAGAAACTTTCAAAGCTGCATGAAGATCTTTTGTCCCAGAGATTTGTTTGGTTTGGGGGATCATGGAGCTGGATAGACCCTGGCCTCAGCACTTCAGTTCAGTTGTGGAAGTGCATCCTATGTGAGGTCACTGCTTAAACTACAACAATGTAAGGTTCCCCTTTTCCATCACATGTTGAGACAATGTTTTCTTCCATGCTACATGCCCCAGTGTATATACCTTGAATAACCTAATTTCTGCTGAGCAAAATAAATATAAAATTTAATTTACAAATTAGGACATTTCTAAATTATTTTATTCCCCCTATCCCTATTGTACAAAAAACCCATCACACACATTCTTTGTAATGTTTTTTGTTCCTAAGACTATCACTGTAGAAACAGAGAAAGGAAGATTTCCTTTATACCTCCCTAACTCAGAGGGAAAATAAGCATCAGTGTTTATAAAGGCTGGAACATAAAGCCCAGATCTATTGTAGGAATATAAATTGGGCTGTCAGTGAATGAATAATAAACTGCTCTAAATTATGTTTTCCTACAACTTCACCAGCTGACTTAATTTGAAAAATCTGTCATACATCTTTTGCAGGCATGAAGTCATAAACAAGTTCATTTCAGTTCCTCTTAAAGAAGAAGTGAGTCAAAATGAGTAAAAACAGTTTGACTTTGGAATTATTTAGATTACTTATTTTTTAAATATGTTGCAAAACCAGGATCACCTGGATATGCAACTCCCTCTCTTCTTTCACAAGCAATGGCTAGACAGTCATACTTTAAAGACTTGCTTAATAACCTGAATATTCATAGATGCTGTAATATAGCTGGACATAACTTGTGATCACTATTTTTCCTTTCATATGCTGAAGCAGTGTCAGAAAAATGGGGAATGAACAACAGAAAAGCAACAGCAATTTTGTGCTGTCTGGGAAAGGTGGCACTGGAAAGCCTGAACTATCATTGTCATCAGTTTCATCACCTGTTTTTCTTTGGGTTATTTACTGAGCTGACTATCAGAAATGAATGAAAGAAGAAAAACCCAAAACAACCCATACTCTGATCAAATTAATAAACTAATTTAGATTTGTTTCATATTAGTACTAGAAGTAGATTTTTCTTCTTTTTATTTAATGTTCATAGTACTTACCAAAGATGTGGCAAACACAAGTTCAAATCCTTCATTTAGCAAATGGATTTGTTTCCATCTCTTCCAGAAAATTAATCACCACCGAATGGCAGAGTTTCAGAGGGGAAAGAGAAGAAGAATAGTGCTTTCTGTCTCTTTTTTATTTGCAGTTCACTTTGTTTTTTGAAAAACCTGAAAATTAGGTTTCCCTTGTCTCATGCAAACATTTTACCTCATAAGATCAAGAAGAAATTCTCCGAGTGCCCTGTAACCAGGTGCATATTGCAAACTTGGGACAACTAAGAAATTATTAGAAAACAGTGACAACACAGTGAGTAGACACTTTCTTCCCCCCATCTGCCTTAGATTAGTAACTTTGGGTTTAGGACATTTTTCTCTGTAGTCTAAGATACCGTTTCATGTTCTGTCAGTAGTACAAGTAAGTGAATTCTTTCTGTGTCACAAATTAACTCCCTGGTCCCTTCCCACTCCCCACAACTGGGTGAAAACTTTCCCAAACAGGGCTGTGTGACAGTCTTATTTTCCTCATGTTTCAGAATGGTGCTTGGAAAATGTGTCACTTTGTTTACTGAAAAAAAATCTTTTCTTTTCCCTCCTTCAGCCCAAAAACAAAACCAAAAAAAGCTTGGAAAAAAAGGATTGGAGATAAATCCAAGCCACGCTAAGTGCTGATCTGCACATGCAATCAGCAGCAGGACCTGAGCTGTTTCCCTGTGTAAGCAGCTTGGTTCATGAGTGCTGCAGCAGTTTCGTACCTGGTGCTTTGAGTGCAGTGACTTCCACCCTTTGAGGGTGCAGGTTGTGCTCCACCAGCAGCAGTGGTTACCTCAGGTAACCCTTGTGTACAATAAAGCACAGGCTCTTTTGCAACCAGCCACTTCAAAGCAAATCGAGGCTTCAGCAAGCCTTTAAGATAGGTACGTACACTTAAAATTTATAATTGTGTTTAATTCTACTTAATGCCATAATATCATAATTAGAACTTATGACAATAAGTCAAATTAACATAAGCATGATTTAAATTGTTTAGGTTCACTTGCATTATAATGCTTCAGCAACCATAAATAGATTAAGGACTTTTTAAATTATTATTATTTTGAAGCAACTTCTCCTGAAAAGTGCCAGGATTTAGTTACTGCAGAATATGCTGAGTTTATACCTGCCAAATGCCCAGTAGAAATGGAGATAATTCCTGAAACACAAGGAAATTTCCAAATTGAATACATACTACCAACATACTTTCAGATTGCATACAGGATTCCTACATGACTCTATCTTAACCAGCATGACACATAAATGGGGATTCTTTTCCATTTTGGAATGTGCAAGCATTTACTTAAGTTGTTGTGGTACCTATTATTTTGAGCACAAAATACTCTCCCTAACAAAGTATACATGCCAAGGGAAGAGTGAAACCACAGAAATCACTATTACTTACCATAGGCTTGGTCTTGTTTTGAGGTATCATTTTTAAGAGCCATTAGCAAAGATTTTCTATAAAATGTCATTGTCATATAATTTTTTAACATTCTTGAATTATGCCATCCAGAATCCCCCACCCTGCCCCAATAAAATTGAGTTCAGGTCCCAAAGTGAAGTCATTAGAATGGTTCCATAATAGTGAGACTACAGTGGTCATAGTCACTCATCAATGAAACACAATAAACGAGCAAATCTTATAAAAACTAATCCGTTATGAATTTCGTGAGAAGGTCATAAGAAGGATAAGAAAAGATTCCAAGAGCCAACAGTGATCC